CTTCATTTGAAGATGTATAAGTCAGGTGTCTTGAGTAGTAAAAATTACCTACAAATCATTGTACACATTTGTATATATTATTTTCCACTTGTTAACATTGTGAGTCTCTTTAGACGGCCAATTTATTTTAAATGCTTAAAAAAGCAAAGCAAGTTTGTTCCTTTCAACACAAGGCAATTCAAAAGTGCTTAACAAAAATTAAAAGTAGAAGATCTTATATTCAGCTACTGCTCAATAGAGTGGCGCAGTGAAGAGTCCTAAAACCCGGAAGTGAGTTAGCATTTTACCAGTACGGGTTCCCTCGTCTCGGAGTCAATGGGATTTCTCCATAGGATTTTGGAAAATAGCTCGAAATAAGGTCTGTGGTTGACACAAATGTAACCTGTTAAGCCCCAAGCCTGTTTTTATGGTCTCAGGCTCGGAAATGGCATTCCCAGAACTATATCTTCACTTCTAAAAAAGGGGTAAATTAATAATCTTTTTTCTCAAAGCAATGATAAACCTGTGAGTTGGATGTAGAATAGTCAGAATTAATATATATGCTTTTATTTTAAAGTAAATTCAGATTGAACATAATAAAAATATATATATTTTCCGTCCACAAAAAAAACATTACTTATAATGAAAACCACCCTTGAATGATGGGATCGGAGACTAAAAGATATAACATATAATAAGTACCCTGTATCAAGATTGATGCAAAACAAGTGACATGTTACCTTTTTAGAGGTTTAGCAACAAAAAAAAACACCTTTGGGCGGATTTGCCGGTTCTCTGGAACCCATTGGTCGATTTTGATGATTCAATCAATGTTTCTTTATATAGCCCAATATCACAAATGTTACATTTGTCTCAGTGGACTTTACAGTTTGTACAAAATATCAGTATGACAATACGACACCCTCTGTCCTTAGATTGATAGATTGACACCTCTTTTGAACCGTTAGAGCCAATAGAATCAAGGGGGAGATCCTAAATCCACATGCATGAGAAGTGAGAGTGATGCGCATTAGGGCTGCACGATATTGAAAAAACTGGAACATTAACCGGATGAAGGATTTTAGTCACGGACGTCTGGATCTTAACTGGTTGACTCATCATAACTTAAGTCATGATCTAATATGTCATGATAATGCATGTTGCTTCCCCTCAAATAAGGAGGTTCATCTGTGAATGAAGAAGAGAAGAACCTTTTTGTATCCAAAATAGTTCCAGATGGCAGATTTGCTTTTTGGAAGTAAATCTTCATTCTCGCCGGTATTGTCCTCCTGTTCGTCGCTAATTTTTTACCGTGTTTTGATGGTCTGCAAACTAGCGGGGCGGGGCCTGCTGTGATCTGATCAAGAATGATATCACTCACTCAAGTACCCCTGACATGAGAGCCGCGCAAGTTTTCCTTTTGTAGCAAGCAGCAAAATAATTGTAACATGACGTGTTTGAGTTAATTGACCTTCTTAATATCGCACGTCCTAAAAAATATTAATAAAATCGCACGTCCCTGCGATGTGAATATCGCGGTTATCGCCATGACACGCTATATCGTTCAGCCCTAGTCTAAAGGTGTGTTTTGCTCCGCTCACCGGTCCCTCACAGCGGGCAGAGCTACAGGTGCTGATCTCTCTCTCTCTCTCTCGCGTCCGGTTATACTTCACTCGCATTTATGTCCAAATCCATCAGATCTAGCTAATGATATGGTTGCTGCCCCTCCCTACACGCAGATCACGCAGACTCAAACCTCATCTTATGCCCAAATTCCAGCTGAGAGGGTCTTCTCTGCAGCTGGCCTGATTGTGAATTGCCTCCGCACCCGCCTCTCCCCTGAGAATATAGACATGCTCATATTCTTATACAAGAATGAGTATTGAATAGCTGCATTCTGTGCATAGGCCCTGTTATAGGTTGTTGATCTCTGTTGTAATAGGGTTACATTACCCTAACCCGTTATGATGTTCGTGTATGATCCCTCTTTAAAGTGGACCTATCGTGCTATATTTGAGAAATATATTGTAGGGCCATGCCTATATAAAACATGTCTGTGAAGTTTTTTTTTTTTTTAAATACCAAACGGATCATGCATTTTAGCCTTGCCTCATTTCGCTCTTTTCAGCCCTGTTTTTGCAAGGGCTGATTCTGTGACGTAGCTTTAATGTAAATGAGCTGCAGCTGACCACGCCCGCCTGCGGGAGGGGGGAGCGTACTCTCATCAGCTGCTGGGCTCTCAGAAGAGGGGGAGGAAAAGAGAGGCTCCGTCCTCCATGTTTTATTCTTATATGATTTATAGTCGTTATTCATTTGTTTTAAAGCTCAATAACAAAGAAGACATTTGACCGACACTTTTCAAATTTTGTCCGGAAGATTTAAACTTTAACGGACATGTTGCCCGGCGAAAAAAAATCTGAAACTTTGCCGCACGGTCCCTTGGAAGAGGCGGAGAGGTGGGTGTTTGTCATCTGCTGGTGGACTACCGGAGAGAATTACATCGAGGGAGGGATTGCATTGAATTACAGCAGCAGGAGCAAGCGCTTGCCTCAGGGAGGGAGAAAAAGAGCCAGAGCATCCACAGCGGAGAATAAACAGAAGTGCAATCATGTGCGGAAAGTCTTCTTCGCTGCTTTTGTGGGAGACTACAGCGCCAGTTACAGGCCTGACAGATGTACTACAGCAGGGGTGGCCAACCCGCGGCTCTCGAGCCGCATGCGGCTCTTCAGTTCATATCGAATTGTAAATGTGTGAGTTTGGGGGAGAGACACTGACTCCTGACTAGTGTTGCACGGTGTACCGATACTTGAAAGGTATACCGCGATACCCTGCCGTTAAAAACGTTACGATTCTTAGGCCTATCGGTAGGCCTACTTTAAGAATGACGGGGAAAAGTACTCCGGTGAGAAAGCGCCGTTTTAATACGAGCCGTGTGTGATCAGCGCTCTGCTTCCAATCCCTGCACTGCAGCCGTGCCTGCAGTCCCGCCCCTCTCAAGCACGTTCTAAGTCCCTCCCCTCTCTCAGCCACGCGCTAGCTGCCAGAGCATGTGAGAAAACGAGAAGCATGGCTGCAAGTGGGAGTGCAACTGCCGCTGCGCCTCGGCTTGTTGACAAAAAAGACGCCATTTGGATGTATTTTAGCTATATCTCTGACAGTGAGGACAAGCCTACGGACACCACAAGGCCTGTCTGTAAGACATTTATTAATTTTATTTAATACGAATTCTTGTCATTTATTTTATTTATTGTTCTCATTGTTTACAAGGTTGTTATGGTTCTGGTGTGAAATAAAGCACAATAATTACATTTAAGACTGTTTCCCTTTTTTAAAGAAAAGTATCGAAAAAGAATCGGAATCGCAATTCTTGACTTGGTATCGAAACCAAAATGTTGGTATCGTGACAACACTACTCCTGACAGTTAAACCTGATATTTAGTAGGTCTGTTAAGTATTGAATGTTGATAATTCTGACATAATTTGGCCGGTCAAAGTTGTTTGGGCTCGGATAAAATCAGTTATTTTCGTCCCGTGTTACTTTCGTCCCGGCTCTCCCCCATCTCCCCACGTATGTGTGGTGTCAGGAGTCAGTATGAGAGGATGACAGCGCGAGCGCGTCTAATTTTTATGTGGCCCAAGAGCCAATCACAATAATACCTGCGATGCAGTGAACCAATCACCTTTGAGGGGGGGGGAAACCTATCGTTGATTAAACACTATCCAGTGTTTCCCCTACCATTGTCTTGGAGGGGCGCTGCACCCAAAAAATATATATCATTTTAAAAAATATATATATATAGCACCAAATTGCAAATAATCTATAACTACTGTCACTTTTCACATTGAACATGTGCTCTTTTATTAAATAAACTAAACGCTTTCATTTTAAGTTGTGAGTTTAGTGTTTTTGATCCTAAAAAACACTGATGCATTAATCAATAACAATAATCCACAGCTCCTCTCTCTGCTCCAGAGGATTTAAAAAAATATATCCCAATGCCACAAAAATGCATCAGTGACGTGGTTGAAATCTTGTCTCCAGAAAACAAAAAACTGAAACAAGCGGTATCAGTGACTGTGTGTTTGATGTGGCTCTTTGCAGTAACATAGAAAACATGTGGCTCTTAACCTCTGACTGGTTGGCCACCCCTGTACTACAGCGTCTCCGGCGCTTTTGAGCGGTAATGGCCGTGGCCCAACCCCCCATTCCCCTGATAGGTGGAGAGTTGCCCATATAGGCGGAGCACCCCTTTTCTGACGTCAGAACAATTTAAATAATAATCAGCTCCATTGCAGCCCCGTTTTTTGAAATTTGGGTATGGAGGAAAAGAGAGAGGGTTGTGTTTTCTGACACTTGGTGAGTTCCCTGACACACCGGGGACACATATTCATGTATAAAAGACGTACAAAAGTGCATTTTGCATGGTCCGGTAATTACCTGCTAACGGAAACTCTGCTACACAATTCTTATTATTGAAACATGACCGGTAAGTTTCAAATTTGTCCGGTAAAATTAATTATTTCCGGACATTTGACCGGCAAGAAAAAATCCTAGCGGAAACCCTGATACAGATGTGTCTATTTTTGTTATATCTTAATGTCGTTAGTGTTTAAGGATTTGGATCCATGACACTACTTGAAGGGAAACCTTATATGATGTTACTTTGAAAATGCCAATGCTGAACATCACTGACAAATGTGTAAAACATTTATACTCTCCAATATTGAGAATACAATCTGTAGTTTAGAATTATGAAGACATATCAAGGCAGCAAACTCTCCATATACTTAAACACACTTGCCTATAATACCTAAGTAAATGTGTGTCCTGCGTTATCAATTCAAAGCCAGCTGTTGCATTTATTCCCTTTTGAACATATCCGGACCCACATCCTAGGCAAGGCCAACATTTGGGTTCAGGAACTCCTAAGAGAGGGGTTGGTTTGTTAGGTTTCCTCAGTGGTAAAAGTTTATATTGTTGTGAATGTCAACCATTAATTTTCCTTTCTTTTGTTTCCTAGACCTCAGAGGAGACTGAAGTCCTCACTTGAAAGACTTCTCTACATGCAATGAGATCTGGATGTCACTACATCCGAGGAGGGGACTGTCATGACATTAAAGGAACACCTTCAGTGGTTCCCCCTGAAAATGGAATAAAAAACAACATGGTAGCCATTCAACTTCCTGGAGAGCTTAGAGTAGCTCATGGCCCAGCTCAGTTGCAGCAAGGCTATGCACATTCCAAACAACATTTTAAGGGACTCTACTGCCATCCAAAGTCACAGTCAAGTATACTAGACTGTGGATTCCAGCCCCTTATACCTGGGGATAGTGCATGTTATTCTCAGGGCAGTCACAACCAAATAAGCCGAGACGAAAATGTTAATCATTTTTCATCAACACATGTCTCTAGTTATTTGGGGAATATTGCTAAATCTGTTTATAACACTTCCTATCAGCAGCAGGTCTGCTCTCGCTCTGTAAGCAGAGACAAAGTCTTGCCAGTTGGAGAATTGGAACCACCTACAGATGACGAAATACGTGACTATGTTGCACAACGCGTCAGATATTTTGAGACTATATCAAAACGTGTACCTTCCAAAAAGCTGTGCAACAGGGACTCTCCACTACAGTCTGGCCCCATCTCACCAAAGATTGACTGTTTTTCCCATCTCCCCAAAACCTGTGCCTCTGTGCCAGCAGTTGGACCAGCACTTGAAGAGGACAGTTCAAAGGGCAGCAAAGCATTTGCTGTGTTACTGCCCAAGTCTAAAGGGATCGACGATTGCTCTGCATCTGCGTCAGAGAAACATTCAAAAGGTACACTATTCCCTGCTGTCGAAAACGCAAAACATGCTCCTAAAGAATCTGTTGAGAAGAGTTCATCGATATATTTAGATTTGTCAGTAAAAGAAAACCCTTGGACATATATATACCCGCACGCGGCAATAACAAACTTGTTTATTCAGATGGCTGTGGATATACATTTTTGGTAGCAATTATTATAAAGGTTTTCATAGCAGATGGTATGAAATGTATTTACAGGATGGCATGAACACTCACTGAAGGAGCTCATTGCTTGTCTGGAGAATTTAGAGAACATTGCAGAGCTGGAGAAGGTCATACTGCGACAATATTGGAATGGGAATAAAGATAACATTCATCTCTTTGCATCCACAGAACTTCCACGAAAAATGAAGAAAGTTCCTGCCACTTGCACAAGGGAAGAAGATGGGAGGCCAGTGGTAGCCGCAGCAGTGCCTGAAATGACCTGTGAAGAAATGACTGAGAAGCAATCCAGTTTGATTTTCAACGGTAGCCCGTCAGAAGAACAGAAGTCCTTTTCGTTAAATAGTAAAACATATTTTGGAGACAAAAGCCAACTGCCTGGTGTTTCTAGGGCTCCCAAACACACCATGGAGAGGGAGACCGGCAAAGTGGCCCTAAAACCAGTGGAAGCAGTTGGGTTGGACAGTCTGTGCGATATGAACGACGTCTCAGGGGATCCTCAAATCAAGCTAACTTCAGTGCTATCTGAAAACAAAACTTTTGGACAAGCATCATTCATTGAAAATCAACAATGCACCACGCTATATTCAGCTGTTGATACACTTAAAATTCATAATGTATGGTCAATTGCTACAAACCAAAGTGAAGGGCATAGCAGCCAAACAAGTTATGAAGGTCCAAGAAAGGATGCAGGTTCTACACGCTTACAAACTGATTCAAGCATAGCCCTTTCAGAAAACAAAGTTGATTACTTTCCTACAGCTTCTGAAGACATTATGAAAGATGAAAGTCCCCACATTGATGATATGACTGCAGAGACCTCTTCAACTACACCAGATCCCAACGATAAGCAGTCATCATTTGAAAATGAAGGCGCTGGATTGAAAGATGAAGATGTTACTGATGATTATGAGGATGAGGATGATGATGATGATATGTTATTCATACCTATAACTATTTCCGACGTTACATTTGAAGATCAAGAGAGCCAAGAAAAAGATGGGCTAGATGGTGGAGAAACAGAAGACCAAGAAAGACGGTGTGATCCAAATTCAAACCACTATCCAAAACCAGTACAAGCTTGTAATTCTACTCTAATGAAAGAGTTTGACACAATTGAAAGCTTTTTAAAAGATGTGAATTCTAAGAAAATACAGGTGAAATTGGTTGGCACACCTGCATTTGAAATAGATTCTGAGGGAGAAGGTTGGTGTCATACACATCATAACAGGAGACAGTCTTCAGACAGCTGTGACACTGAAGACAGTTGTGATTACCCATTCGAATCACATAACAAACATTTACCACTATCCAGGAGTTTGTTTGGAAAGAAGAATATTTCAAATAACAAAGACATAATAATAATTCAATCTGACTCTGAAGATGATGTTGAACAAAAGAAGCCAAAAAGGAAGAAACTTTTCACTTCCAGCTCAGAGGACAGCGACAGTTCCACATGTAGTCGCCCAAAGACACATTCATCCGAAACTGTAGGCAGTCGATGTGAAACTTCAGAAGAAAACTCTACAAAAAAACGACGGTTATCTGCAGACTCGCCAACACGCCAATCTAAATGCCATGATGCACCGTTCGAAGAAGGGATGCAGAATGCATGCTCTGACATGTTGCACAGTGAAGAAATGAATGGGCAGCTGGGTGGCTCCACCGAGAGTGTAATAGTCATTGATTCTCACACAGAGGACGATGACCAAAACACAGAACCAAGCGGAAATACATTCATCTGTTCAGGGTCGGACGACAGCGATCGCCGATGTGTTGAACAGAAAAGACAGTCCCCTTTAACTGTGAAAAGTGGTAATGGTTCTGCTAAAGACATTCTTCGAGAAGTCAGACCGTCTTCTGCAGACCTATCACAGTCACTGAACCAGTCAATGCTTCATGATGCACCACAGAAGACAAACGGACATGATTCTGATGTGATAAAGAAAAGACATTACCACAAACGTAGGGTAAAATCTAAAAGAATAGTCTCATCAGAATCAGAGGAAAGTGATGATGAAACTGTGGACAGACTTTGTGGAGCTGCTAATGAAAAGTCGAAAAATAACAGTCTGTCATCCAAGGATCCAAAAGAGAAGCAACCCCAGTCTTTGAACAAGAAGGCCAACTCAACTTCAGGTTCAAAATCTGTGATTCCTCGCTCAGTTGTTGAAAAGCCTAATCAACATCATAAACTCTTTAAAGAATCTAACAACGACCGACAGGTTAAAGATTGCACTCCAAAGTCCTCCACAGCATCCAGTAAAAAGACTGACTCTGTCGATAAAAATACATTGGATTTGCCCAAACCAAAACGTACAAACGATGGACCACATACAACAAAGCATAACGTTCAGGCCAATGTTAAAAAAAACACAATATTTTCAAGACAACATTCCTTACCGGGCCAGAAATGCACATCCACCTCTGTCAGTGAAAAACAATCTAAAGCCAGACGAAGCTCAGTCGGCTCAAGATATTTATCTCCATCTGGAGAAACACCGGCCTCCTCTAATCATCCTGCATCCAAACAGAGCATATATACTCCCAGAGATAATTTGTCTACGTTAAGACTACGGTGCTCTGTCTCTTGTGGCGACAGGTCAACGATGAACCATCCTGTCAATCCCACAAAATGCCCTTCACCAACTTCTGCAACCATGGAAACATCAGCAAGGAAACGGTTGACAAAAGAAATGGAGCTCTTTATCCCAATTGGAAACGAGCTGAGTAAGAAACTAAAAAAGACAAAATCCACCCTGGGAATGGAGGATGACGTGACAACCGGGACATTACCTAGTCGACATAACAGGGCACCCATACAGAGGCAAAACTCCAAGTCTGCAACCCCCCTAATGAAAAGGACCAAGTTTGATGCAGTACAGTTGACAAAGGCTAGGATCCGGGACACCCCAAAGGAACAAGGTGTGTTCTTTTGAAGTGCACTTTTTTTTTTGATTGTCCTTAAAAGAGTCTGATAGTAGTGAAATGTATTTTGTATGTGTCTAATAAGAATGTGTGTTCCTAATCATTATTCCTACTATAGATAACTACGATTGTAAAGGTTACAAATGGTCAGAGAAGCCAACAGTGACAAACCCAATACAAGGTATTACCTAAACCAAATTCTAACATAGTTTGCTCTGAGTAAGAACAATTGTCTTACAGCCAACCAATGCACAATGCAATTTCCTTTGGATTTCTGCAGTACCGGTGTAACTCTAATGTAACTTTTTCTTTTGTACCTGCAATTTTTCATTTTAGGTTTAAGCAGCAAGAGAAAGATGTATAGATCTCATCCATGACCCCGCTAGTGAGAAAAAGGATGGCAGTGGCTACCAATGCAAATCAAGTTTGTCTCACTCCCTAAAGGACAGGTGGCTGATTCGTGAAGCAGAAGTTCTGGATACCATCTATTCATTTTCTGTATTTTGAGCTTGTCTATGTGGGAACTGTATATACATTTGTTAGCTTGTTGGCAGATGTTATTGTTACTGGCTTCCTAAAGCTATTTTATATTATTGTATAAATTTTTATTTTTGCATGTTTTATACTTTGAAAACCCACTTATGTTAACACTTCCTATGGGCGAGTTTGTATCTTTCTGTTTTTTAAAACGTCACTGTATACAAAACCTTAAATGAATACATTTCTCAATTTGTCTTGCAGTACTTTTATTTCGACACTAGAGGAAGACAATGTTTTATATACTGCACAAACGGCACCAGTGCCCGTTCAACCATATGATGAGGAGCAGCAGTGAGAGAAGCTATGTTGCAACTTATTTATAAACATGGTTACTTGTTGATGAATCAGCTGTATAATTGTTTTTGTCTGCCAATGTTGAAATATTAAGAGAAAAAAAAGGTCGGGTATGAATTAAGGTGACTATAGAGTTAATAAGCACCATATCAAATGCGCCTACATTTAACCTTAAATACATTTTCAGACGTTTTTTAGTTTTTAAACCTACCAGAAAACCACATTAAAATACACCATTATTCCTTTTAAACATTATCTAAAAATACCTACATTGAATGATTAGAAAGGACATTTATGATTTCAAAGCAGCCCTAACCTGGATATCACTGTTTTCATAGTATACATCAACACTGGTGACACGAACATTTATGCCTTTTCATCTTCGTTTCTACATATTTATAGATTATATACACACAATTGTTTGAATGTAGTCTACCTGACTATGACTGGAGCCCCAATTTCGAAATGCTATGCCCCTGGCCAAAGCCTGCTAATCTATCTATCCGTCTTCTACCGCTTATCCGTGGTCGGGTCGCGGAGGTCGCAGTTCCAGCCTGCTAATGACAGAAATGTAAAGGTCCCATGTCATGGCCATAATTCCATTGTTGAGGTCTACTAGAATAAATGTATATTGTGCAATTTTCCAAAATCACATTGGTTTCTCATACAGCATCTCTGTATATGTATATTCACTCTCTGTCCTAAACGGCTTGTTGTCGAAGAGATAATACATTTTACAGCATATAGACCGAATGTTAGGAAATGCATGTGTCTGTAATAAGAAGATTAATCCATGAGGATGTCAGCTACAATCCTGTGGAAGCCATCAGGGAAGCAGCATGACGAGACCCAAGGCAGGACCGCAGAGACAGGTTCAGCCACGACCCGAAATCCACGACTTAATCCAGAACTCAGGATAGAGGATCCAAGCAAGAGGATCAGCCTCGACTCCGGATCCCGGTGTAGATATAGATACAAAACAAGAAACAAGATTTGGCTGGGTTAATCGGAACAAGAGAATACACAGACCGAGAGGGAAAAGGTCATTGGATAAAAGTTATTCTTGATAACCCTCTAGAAGAGTGGCTCTCAACTGGTCAGGCCTCGGGACCCACTTTTTCCTTTGTCAATAGATCGCGACCCGAAATTTTGAACCACTCAAATCTTTCAACAAAAAAGATCGTGCTGTAATATATACGCTTTTCAGCATACAATATTAATTAAAGTGAAATACAATGCATATATCACTTATATCCCTTCACAGAACAAAATAATGCTTTTAAATAAGGTTTAATGAAATGATGGAATCAAATCTGAACTGTATAACATAAAAAGGCACACATGCTAAAAACCCAACCCCAGAAGGGGAGTCTGGGGGGATTCTCCCCCAGGAGATTTTTTAGAAATACTAACATATAAACTACCCATTCTGGTACACTCTGAGAAGAAAATATAAAAATCTATTACTACCCGACATATTAATAATATTGTATGCCATTGTTTGTTTTTCACTTTGTTCTGACAGTTGAATTTGCTGCTCCTCACAGAGAGAAGAGCAAAGAGGAGAGAGTCTGTGTGAATTACTTTAAATTGTGGGTAAGGGTAGATAGCTCCAATTGTTCTGTGACCTTTCAATCATCAAACCGGGGGTCATATTTCATTATGTGTTCATTTGTATCTAAAGTTGTACCCATGGATGTATAAAGAATAGTTATACCGCAAAGTTATTCTCCGTGGGGACTTCCGACAACAATCTTGATTCTGATTGGCCAGAAGATGTTTTATTGAGAAGATGATCACTACGTGACAGACGTTTTCAAGACCGTTTATGGTCTCCGGTACTTCCAGTCCAACGCCTACTGCATGCACAGCGTTAGAAAGTCGGGCCTTCAAAATAAAGGTTTGACTTTTTTTCACTCACACATCTGCGACCCACTCGAAACGGGTCCGCGACCCACTTTTGGGTCGCGACCCACCAGTTGAGAACCACTGCTCTAGAAAGATCTCATGAACTTCCCCACTCAGGGGCGCTGTAAGGGGGTGACAAGTTAGGACGATTCTAAGGGCCCGTGACTGACAGGGGCCCCAAAAAAAATGTAAGTAACCTTTCATCAATCCTCAATAATTAATAGAACGTTATATTGATAAATTACTCACTAAACTTACGATTATTTTCTTCCAAAAGTTAATTACCCAAAGCCTCTGTACACCCCCGGGCCCCTTCTATTTCCATGTAATGGTTTGGTCCTGCCTCCAAACGCGGTGCGGCACCGGCACTTGCAGGGAGTGAAAGCATGTGAGGAGGGATGCTAGTACTTAGCCTACGTAAGTGTGTTGTACCATGTTTCAACGACCAACAAAGTCAGGCTGTAAGAAAGAAGAGAAAGGAGAGAAAGAAAAGAGAGAGGGACTAAAGGGCGACAGTATGTCACCCAGTTTTTCACAAGAAAAGGTGGGTGTGGTCCATGAGTGGTGGAAATTAGTCTGTTAGCTAATGTTTTTTTGTTTACTAAGCTGGGGGTAGGTAAGTTTCAGAAACCGGTGTCAGTACCAGATGTGTTCGGGGTACCAGATGTGTTCGGGTGTCGCATCCGTCATATTCGTCATATTTTACGGCAACTCAAGATGGCCATCACGGTCAAATTCCGAACATTTAAACATAGCCGACACTTCATTCTTTACTTTGTCCGTTATTATATGTAGAAGATTATACTTTTTCTCCGTCATGTTGTTTCCATAGCAACAACTTCAAACAGGCATAGCCTACACTTCATTCCTTATTTTGTCCGTTATTATTATGTAGAATATATTAATTTTTTCTCCGTCATGTTGTTTCCATAGCAACAACTTCAAACAATAACAACTAACCGCTAGCCGCAAAGCTAGCATCACAGCCACTGCTCCGTTTTCGGAGACTTTGCATACGTTTTTCACAAACATTTTTCACAGGCTAGGACTACTTCCATTCGCTTCGTCTTGATCTGTAGATGTGATTTGATGTGTCGTGTGTCCCCCAACTCCTCTCCAAAGTTCAGATATTTGATAAAATACTCAGGGGAGTTTCCTGAATGTTCATGCCAAAAGCCAAGCACTAGGCCCTGGGTAAATTAAGAGGCTGATCTCGGGCACTTTTGTCCACTTTCCCTGGTGGTAGAAACTCAAGCCAGACATCCCTGGAATCGTCTCAGAGAGTAGATGATCAGTGGGGCCTTGTTTTTACTGAATGATGTGTTTTTTTTATGGGGAATTCAAATATGAGCTTATTTTTAGGATTTTCGGAGACTTTGCACACGTTTTCACAAACATTTTCACTCTAGGAGTATGGGAGTACTTCCATTCGCTTCGTCTGGATCTGTAGATGTGATTTGATGTGTCGTGTGTCCCCCAACTCCTCTCCAAAGTTCAGATATTTGATAAAATACTCAGGGGAGTTTCCTGAATGTTCATGCCAAAAGCCAAGCACTAGGCCCTGGGTAAATTAAGAGGCTGATCTCGGGCACTTTTGTCCACTTTCCCTGGTGGTAGAAACTCAAGCCAGACATCCCTGGAATCGTCTCAGAGAGTAGATGATCAGTGGGGCCTTGTTTTTACTGAATGATGTGTTTTTTTTATGGGGAATTCAAATATGAGCTTATTTTTAGGATTTTCGGAGACTTTGCACACGTTTTCACAAACATTTTCACTCTAGGAGTATGGGAGTACTTCCATTCGCTTCGTCTGGATCTGTAGATGTGATTTGATGTGTCGTGTGTCTCCCAACTCCTCTCCAAAGTTCAGATACTATATAAAAATATTAAAAGGTAAATAAAACATTAAACATAATGACAAAATAACAACCTGAAAGATATGTATTCTATCTACACATTTCGTAATTATCTAATCTAGTGGCCTTATAAAAGTGTTGGCTAAAGTAACGCAGAATATATTTTATTTTTTTTAATTGTAAATAATTAGAAACATTATTTATGTGCACAAGTACATGGGACCCCACCATAGCACCCCACACATAACAAGCTGTCCCGAGTTCCTCCGGCTGCAGTTCCGCAGACGGCCGGTGTGTGGCAGCAGAGCGCTGGGAGCAGAGGGAGGTGAGTATATGACGGATATGACGGATGCGACGGAAATACACCCGAACACATCTGGTACCCAAGCCCATAGATATATATAAACACTAGATGGCTCATGGGAGATTTTCCAGCGTAGCTCACCGGCCGCCATCTTGCTACAGTTAACAGTCTGATTCGCGTTATGGTAGCTGTTGTAAGGTGAGTGATCTGCACAAAAATACTCTTAACTCGCTGAAATCTTGACTGATTTACAAACGGTTTGGTTTATTATAAACATTATTAGCATGGCTATGATACAGGATGCTTGGACATGTTGAAATTGCAGCTTTTCTTTGTGTATGTGGTTGTATTTATTAGCTGGCTAATAACAAGAGGCTGTGAGTGAGACCTAGTATTACAAAGTTGACCCAGCAACTTTACACCAGTGGGAGAGGCAGAACTGCTCTTTCTTTTCAACATAACTTAAGTTACACACGATTTCTTCCAAGTGGTTTGGCTTGTTAAAAACATCTTGCATTATGATACAGGAATCTGCTGGCTTTGTGTTTACAGAAGTACCTGACTATGCCGGACTTTTGTGCAGCCTACGGATGCTCTAATCACCGCAGTCTGCAAACAAGAACCCGTGGGATCACCTTTCACATGTAAGATATGACAATATTATGACTAAAATTAGGATAATCGTTAATTACTTAGTGGATGTATGTACATTACAAGTCCTGCTACACAGGATCAGTGGGGCTATGTGAGATAATAGTATTGCAAGATTGTTGTTGACCCAGCCTCTTTAGAATATGTTGTTACCATTTCTTTACACAATTATTGAATGTTTCACCTTTTTTATTACTCTTAGTGTGGTTGTCTTATTCTTAAAGTAGGCTATACATACATGCATACATACCAAAAATATGATAATTTCGGTGTGTATTTTTGTCCTTACCCTTAATGTTAAAGGAAAGAAGGGAGGAAAATGTTGACAATAATTTATATATCTGGCTACCTTTCTCATGTTTTTAAGGTTTCCCAAAACCGAAGAGAGGAGGAGGCAGTGGGAACTCGCCCTAAGAAGGGACATCTTCAGGTTCCATGAGACGCAGCACTATGTTCCCCACATATGTTTATGTTTGCTCAGTCTAATAAACCCATAACATGGTTGTGAAAGAATACCAAAGCTGAGGCTGGACGATGATTGATTGTTGGTGTGCCATGTGCCACCGTGTGTCTTATTGGTTTTGTGTTATACTGTATTGTATTGTGTGCAGCTGGTCCTTATCTCCAAGACACATTTAAAACAAATAACCTTGAACCTTGAAGCCCCATCTCTCCCCACCTGCTCCTGCTTCCTACATCCCCTCCACACCACACCAAGTTGTTCTTCTTAATAATAATAATAATAATACATTTATTTTGGGGGGCCGCCTTTCATAACACCCAAGGACACCTTACAGGGGCATAGGGGCAATATAGGGAACAATTCAAACAGTGGATTTTGTGATATATCAGCCGGGGTGAGACAAGACAAACCACAAATGGACTACAGAAGGACACAAAAGGACACATGGTACAGTTTATATTATTCTTGGTCTTTTTTCAATAACATATTTCAAAGGTTCTGGATTTGTTTACAAATCTAGAAACTAAATACAAAACTAGGATGATATGAAGATCTCATGTCAAAAATAATTGTGATAAATTAGACAGCACTGGCCTGTCTGTGAGCACTATTTAAATAACCATAGCTTGCTCAATTTTCAAACGGTTTGGTTTTTTATAAACATCAAAGATGTAGTTATGATACTGTATACTTATAGTCATGGACTTTCTTATGAAAATAACATTAAGCAGATAAAGCAATAGCTATACACACACACAAGGTATTTACATTAAATATTTGCCGGTGTATATATTTCCATTTATTTTTATTATATTGTTAATATTTAAAATAAATTATAAAATTAAAATATATTTATATTTTATATATAAAAATCGGTCTCATGTTACCACTCTGTAAGCCAAGAGTTGTTAATTTAGCAATGCCTTAGCTTTAAGAATAGGGACACAACTAATGACAATAGCATATGTTGGTATATTATTTAGATATTCACACCTTTATCAGAAGAACCAAACCAACATAAAATGAGCTCACAGACAGGCCAGTTCTGTCTCATTTATCACAATTATACGAATATATAAATAATAGTAATATGGAAATTAACAAGTTACTTTTTTAACAATTCAATGTTCACTTATCAATACTGTGAGCCTGATTTTTCTTACATTCTCCAACAGAAAACACAACTCGGCGTACTTTTAAGAAATTGATCTTAATAGGCTTTTCCCCTTATAAGGCAAAAATATGTTTTGAGGCTCTGGACAAAAATGGCTATTTTGATTGTAAAGGTTGCCAATCCCTGGGTGTAGTTTCAATGTTTGCACATGTTTATTCAAGTGTATGAGTGACATAGAGCAAGTGAGATGGCCAGTGGTTCTCAAACCTTTTACACAGAGTACCACCTCAAATTATATTGGGCTCTCCTAGTAACACCATCATAGACCTTTCTGGGTACCACCGAGATAAAGGATTTAATATGACAAGCCATATGATGCTCTCATTTGTTAGTGACATTCCACATGCAAATAAAACAAGATAAGATGGTACTTTATTGATCCCAATTTGGGAAAACATTTTTAGTTACAGCAGCATAAGGGACAAAGCATTTTACAATGAATTAGAAATAAGCAAGAAAAATAAAGAAAAGAAAGAAAGAGGAAAATATACATGTTGAGTTTGGCAGGATATTATATATATAATATACATAAATATAAGGCATATGGAATATTAATGTTAAATATTAAATAGATTATATATGTGTAAAATGTACAACGTGGTTATATTCAAGAGAAACTATGGAGCAGAGAGTTATCTTCCAGCCAGAGGTGATTTGTTGAGTTATGGCACTGCGGAGCTGCAGCAGTCTGTTGGAGAAGGAGCTCCGTTGACTGTCCAGCTGCAGGTGGAGAGGATGGGTGGGGTTATCCATGATGGACAACAGCCTGTTCAGTGTCCTCCTCTCCACCACAGCTTCAAAGGGGTCCAGCTTGATGCCGATGACAGACCCAGCTTTCCTAATTAGTTTATTGATCCTGCTGGTGTCACCGGCTCTGATGCTGCCCCCCCAGCAGACCGGAGCAAAGAAGAGTGCACTGGCCACAACAGACCGGTAGAAGATCTCCAGCATCTTACTGCACACGTGGAAGTATCTCAGCTTCCTCAGAAAATAGAGTCTGCTCATCCCCTTCTTGTGCACAGCATCAGTGTTGATCCTCCAGTTCAGTCCGTTGTCTAAGTGCACTCCCAGGTATTTGTAGTCCTCCACAACAGCCACATCCTCTCCCAGAATGCACAGGGGTAGAAGAGACGTCCTCACCCTCCTGAAATCAATGACCATCTCTCTGGTCTTGGCCACATTCAGAATACTCACAACATTAGGCTGAGGTTCATCTTCCGCTCTTCTAGAAGTGGTTGTGCTTCTTGTTGCTTCCGGCTAAAATAAACATTAAAGACATTTTGAGTGTTTAAAATGTGCTGTAATACACAACACATTATTTATTCCTAAACTTGCAGAAAGAAAAACTAAAGTGTGACATTTAATCACATATTTATCAATCAATCTTATACACCTTGAATTCTTGTTGGCCAATGATACACATACCCTTTGAAGATGAGCTGGGAAATTGAATACTGTTGGCACAACACCATCTTTAAGCCGGACAGTCTGCCCCGTCCTGTCAAAGTCCTCACTCCTGAAGTACTCACTGCAGAGCAGCGTCCTGCCAGAGGAAACAAAACCGTCCCTTCTTAGGGCGAGTTCCCACTGCCTCCTCCTCTCTCCGGTTTTGGGAAACCTTAAAAACATGAGAAAGGTAGCCAGATATATAAATTATTGTCAACATTGTCCGCCCTTCTTTCCTTTAACATTAAGGGTGGACAAAAATACACACCGAAATTATCATATTTTTGGGGTAATTTTATGTATGTATGTATGTAATGTATGTATGTATACTTTAAGAATAAGACAACCATCCATCCATCCTTCTTCTCCCGCTTATCCGTGGTCGGGTCGCGGGGGTAGCAGTTCCAGCAGAGAGCCCCAAACTTTCTTTTCCCTGGCGACATCAACCAGCTCTGACTGGGGGATCCCAAGGCGCTCCCAGGCCAGCGAAGAGATATAATCCCTCCACCTGGTCCTAGGTCTACCCCTTGGTCTCTTCCCAGCTGGACGTGCCTGGAACACCTCCCTAGGGAGGCGCCCAGGTGGCATCCTAACTAGGTGCCCGAACCACCTCAACTGGCTCCTTTCTACGCGAAGGAGGAGCGGCTCAACTCCGAGTCCCTCCCTGATGATCGAACTTCTCACCTTATCCCTAAGGGAGACACCAGCCACCCTGCGGAGAAAACCCATCTCGGCCGCTTGTATCCGCGATCTCGTTCTTTCGGTCATGACCCATCCTTCATGACCATAGGTGAGGATAGGAATGAAAATGGCCCGGTAGACAGAGAGCTTTGCCTTCTGGCTCAGCTCCCTTTTCGTCACAACGGTGCGGTAAAGCGACTGCAGTACCGCTCCCGCTGCTCCGATTCTCCGGCCCATCTCACGCTCCATTGTTCCCTCACTCGAGAACAAGACCCCGAGATACTTGAACTCCTTCACTTGGGGTAAGGACTCATTCCCTACTTGAAGTGGACAGTCCATCGGTTTCCTGCTGAGAACCATGGCCTCAGATTTGGAGGTGCTGATCCTCATCCCAGCCGCTTCACACTCGGTTGCGAACCGATCCAGTGAGTGCTGAAGGTCGCAGACCGATGAAGCCATTAGAACCACATCATCTGCAAAAAGCAGTGGTGCAATCCTTAGTCCACCGAACTGCAGACCCCCTCCCCCATGACTACGCCTCGAAATCCGATCCATGTATATTACAAACAGGATTGGTGACAAAGCGCAGCCCTGGCGGAGGCCAACCCTCACCGGAAATGGGTCCGACTTACTGCCGAGGACCCGGACACAGCTCTCGCTTTGGGAGTACAGAGATTGGATGGCCCTGAGTAGAGACCCCCCTCACCCCATACTCCCGCAGCACCTCCCACAGTAACTCCCTGGGAACTCGGTCATACGCCTTCTCCAAGTCTACAAAACACATGTAGACCGGATAAGCGTACTCCCAGGCCCCCTCCAGGATCCTTGCGAGAGTAAAAAGCTGATCCGTCGTTCCACGACCAGGACGGAATCCGCATTGTTCCTCCTCAATCTGAGGTTCGACAATCGGCCTGACCCTCCTTTCGAGTACCTTAGAGTAAACTTTCCCGGGGAGGCTGAGTAGTGTGATGCCTCTGTAATTGGCACACACCCTCTGATCCCCCTTTTTAAAAAGGGGAACCACCACCCCGGTCTGCCACTCCTTCGGTACCGTTTCCGACTTCCACGCAACGTTGATGAGACGTGTCAACCATGACACAACAGTCAGAGTTTTCCCCCCCATAACCCGCAGGCGTAGGGAGGCGACCCTCTCGTCCACTGGGGTAAACTCCAACAACGAAGCACCTAACCGGGGACTTGTGAGTATCCCCACACCCGCCCGGCGCCTCACACCTTGAGCAACTCCGGAGAAGAATAGAGTCCAACCCCTATCCAGAAGTAAGGTTCCAGAGCCGACGCTGTGCGTAGAGGTGAGCTCAACCAGATCAAACTGGTAACGCTCCACCTCCCGCACAAGCTCCGGCTCCTTCCCCCCCAGAGAGGTGACGTTCCACGTCCCCAAAGCCAGCTTCTGTCGCCCGGGTCTGGTCCGTCGAGACCCTCCGCTTTCACTGCCACCCTTCTGGCAGCGCACCCGACCCCATCGATGTTTCCCGTAGGTGGTGGGCCCGCGGGACGGAGAAGCGGAGGTGTTGCCCACGTTGCCTTTTCGGGCTGGGCCCGGCCGGGCTCCGTGGCAAGCCCGGCCACCAGACGCTCGCCGACGAGTCCTCCTTCTGGGCCTGGCTCCAGAAGGGGACCCCGGGCTTCCTCCGGGCCGGGTATCCTCACTTCTTGTGTCGTCTTTCATGAGGTCTTTTGAACCAATCTTAGTCTGGCCCCTTGCCTGAGACCAATTTGCCATGGGAGACCCTAC